TTAGCTGTTAGCTTCAATGTCGGCAATGAATGAAGGTCTAGCATTTTATTGACCTGTACTGGCACTAAACATCTGAAACTTAAGTCTTCAAAATGTGTGGATGAAAAGGGGGTTCATTTTTTTATTTTACTATGGCAGCCTTTTTTACATAACATATTTTTATTTTGAAGACCACTGATCTAAAAACTGACCATTTCAACATGAATCAAATTATGTACCTTTTCAGACCTATTTGTGATGCACCTTAAATAATCTCTTTTCGCGTACCACATGGTTCTAAGTGCTGGCGCAGTCTTCCTCAGAGTGGTCACATGATGTTCCTGTGATGTGTCTTTTAAGCGTTTTTTTGCGCTGCCTTCGTACCATCAGAGGCATCGTCAGCATAAAAGTAAAAACCGAGTAAAACATTCATTGAGGAAAACGGGGAGGGCTTTCAGTACACGAAACAAAATGTGAGTAGACTGCCAAGGCGTGCAAACGATCAACAAAATGCAAAACAGAACAAAAGAAACTTAAACCAGCAATTTCTAACCACTGTAAAAGAGCCCCATTGATATTGTGCTTGTCCCAGTCCATAAGTGGTTCTGAGGGCGACAAACTCTGACACTGGGTCAAAGAGTTAATAGAAATACTGACACCAGGTCTATAAACTGGGAGCTTTTTTACTCTCACACCTGGGATAGTAGTACCGTAATGAGCCAGATCTGGAGCTGAGTGCGGCAGCTGCATTCCTCGTCTTGAAGCATTGGGCCAGACACTGCGTATATTAGAACACGCTGCAGTAAAGATCACTAAACCGTTTTTTTTACCCTACAGGTGCTATCTCTTCTGGGTTGCGTCTGGAAGACTCTCCCTTCTATGACTTCCTCTCCCCTGGCCCATCTCCACTGAGCCCCCCTGGCCAATCATTAGGCTCAGTGGGCGATAGCTGGCCCCCTCGTGCCATCTCTCCCCCGCCCCATGGAAACACTGGCACATGGCCGCCAGGTATTCAAACAGCAACAGAACAAATGACAAAAAAATGATGTGTGTTTACTGATGCATGTCCTATGATTGCAGAGTTTCGGCCTGGTGAGCCTTGGGAGGGTTACCCCAACATTGACCCTCAAACTGACCCCCACCTGACCCCTGGTAGTGTCAGCAACAGTCTCTCCATAAACACCGTCCGCGACACAGACCACCTCAGGGACAGGAACAATGGTATGGCACTAACGCAGCTACCTGGGCGTCGTCTGCCAACCATGTGGACTAAACTACATGTTGAACTGTTCCCAGGGCCATCCTCATCACTGAACACCTCGATGCCTTCGAATAGTGCCTGGCCATCCATTCGTGCCTCCAGCCACAGCAGCTCCCTCAGCAGTACAGCACAAAGCACTTCAGGTCTGTTCTGACTGCACTTCTCGGCCTGTTTCATTTGTTCTGGAGTCAACATTTATTAGACCACCTAAACACACCTACACCTGTACTGATGTCAAAAACATGAGAACATACACTCAGAGTAAGCTAAATCTCTATGGCGACCATCAGCACTTTGAGTTGCCTTATGTATGAATTGTGCTATACAAATAAACTTGCCTTGCAAACTTGCTTGTAACAAGGAAGTATTTCACCTCATGTCAATTTAGATGATTTAATAAAAGCCTCTTTCTCTTGCAGTTAGACAAGCTGATTCTAAATGGTCTCCTGGTGGTAGTTCTGTGTCCAACACCTCCCTTGCCCATGAGCTATGGAAGGTTCCTCTGCCTTCTAAAGGTCTTTCTGTGGCAGCCCCCTCCAGACCCCCACCTGGCCTAACCAGCCAGAAGCCCAGCTCTGGCTCCTCAAGCTGGGACAGTTCATCACTAAGGTTGGGTGGATGGAGCTCCTCTGAGTCCAGATTCACTCCTGGTCAGAATCAAAGTCTCATTACTTTGTCATGTCTCACATTCCGCATATTGTTTTTGACAAGTTCTGTTCTGACAGGTTCCAGCTGGAGTGACAGCAGCTCAGGGAGAACCCAGTGGCTTGTTCTGAAAAATCTCACACCTCAGGTACTTTCAGAATAAATACTATTCTGTACCATTTCAAAGAGGTCTAGAGCTGCTGAACAATAGTAAATGTAACTCACTTGATCTGTTCCAGATTGATGGTTCTACACTGAAGACCCTGTGCATGCAGCATGGCCCATTAGACACATTCCACCTCAATTTGCCCCATGGGAACGCCGTAGTCTGTTATCGCTCCAAGGAGGAGGCTGCCAAGGCTCAGAAGAGCTTGCACATGTAAGCTTTAGTTTCTTCTGTGACTTTGAGTTTTATTCAACATTCCCAGCATTCATGAACGTTTTTTACAGGTGTGTTTTGGGAAACACGACCATTCTGGCTGACATAGCCACAGAGGAGGAAATCAAAGGCTTCTTTGCACAAGGGCAGACGATGGCTACTTCCTCCTCCGGGTGGCAAGCTATAGGCTCCTCTCAGAGCCGAATGGAGCCGTCTCACTCCTTTCCCAGCCGTGCTGTTGAACCCAACCAGTGGAGCAGCAGCGATCTCCACAGCGCCTCCCTCTGGGGAGGACCCAACTATTCCAGTGGCCTGTGGGGGAGCACCCCAAGCACCGAGACTGGAAGGATGAGCAGTACTTCTCCAATCAGCTCCTTCCTCCCGGTGGATCACCTCACAGGTGCTGGTGATTCCATGTGAACATCTGTCAGTCCAACTATCTGGGAAAGGGTTAGTAGAAAATTATCAAGAATCAACTGAAGAAATGTTCTTAAAAGTAGTTCTAAATGCAATGGCACTAGTTGGACTCTTACAAGATATTCAACAAAGCAGGGTTACACCTGTGGAAAACAAGTTACGTTTCTCTCTGCACATAAGTCCACTTTGTTTTAGCCCAACAACATATCAGTCAAAATACTTGAATCATGCAGGCCAATTCTATAATGTGAATGGATGGAGATTTGCTTCCAGGTAGTGCTCTTTCAGACCGAAAAAAGCTTAAATCAAGTTCATTATTATGATCTATTTTTGTTTCATTTATGTTTTTTACTATTCCAATTATTTTATTTTAAAATTTCTTTTTGTTTTGTTTTTTTGCATTTGTTTGCCGACAATGTTGGAGTATGAGCTTTTTAACTTTGCACTGAATGTGTTTTTTTTTTTTTTTTCTTGGTATATATATATATATATAATCTGCAATATAGAGGGAGCAGCCAGTTTTTCCAGTGTAGCTGTTTACTCATTGAGGTCCTTACATATGTATGATCGTATGTGTGCGTGTTTAGTGTGTGTGCGTGTGTTTGAGTGTACGCTCCTCTCTGCCTTGGCACGCCTACCTTACTGCGTTGTGGAGTTCAAGATCAACAGATCAGATAATCTGCTGATAGTTTAAGTGACATTAAAAAGTATCGCACCTATCTTGATTTAAAACTAAAGAACGTCATGCTCTGCAGTGCAAAGGACTGTAGCCACAGCTGGGACTAGCAAGCCTCGTCTTCCTACTGTAGGAGGCCAGGCCCATCTAGCAAGCCCCTCGGCCGCTAAGTGGCAGGGGGAACAGCACTTTCAGAATAGGCTTTCAATGTTTTGGAGGTGCCACACGTAACCTCTTGTTTACAAGACTTAGGAGGCAAAAAGTGTGTTCATTCTTCATTTTAATAAAAACATAAAAAATGAAAAATATAAACAAAAAAACAAAAAAAGACCAAAAAAAGTATAAAAAAAATTAAATAAAAAAAAAATGTTCTATTGAGGATGAAGACAATGCTTTGTATCTCTGGGAATTCGGATCAGTGTTTTTGGCCATGGCGTTGGTTATTTGAACTATTCCTCTTGTCTGCTAAATAACCAGCAATGGTTCTCAGGAAATGAAGCCAGTTTTCCCCCTTTTTGTAGTTGAAAGAAACTACGACTCCTTGTAGGAACAGAAAAATTCAACTTCTAGCACTGAAAAACCATGAATAGGTCTGTTTTTCCTTCTGCCAAATAACTGCTTTAAGCTGGAGAAGCTCATCACATGCTTTGAATATGCTGTCTACTGGAGGCTGACCACCTCCGCTCCTCTGATCCAAGAATCACAAATGGGGAGTGGTTATTGTATGCCTGTGTGACTGTCAGTGGAATCGTTTTGTCTTGTTGGACTTGTAAACCAAGAGAAAGGCAAATTTATATCTATGCATACTGTAACCTCTCGTAAGGCCTATGAGAGGCATTTTCCTCTATCTCACAATGTTTTAATAATTTCACTAAGTACATCAAAATGCTTTTTTATTGCTCTCATCGCCACAAATGTGTTTTTGAAATATGTCAAAAGTTTTAAAACGTAAAAAGCCTGATAGGTGATATTTTAACACAGTGCAAAAGTCGTCCACATTTCATTGCCTTGATTCTAACTGTGTCCGAAGATGCAACAAGTCAAGTGGCTTTTACCTGTTTACAAATAGATTATGATTGTATTGTACTTTTTTGTTTCCCTTTGGTGGGAGTGGGGGGCGCTCATCAGAAGGTCCTGAATTGTGTTTGAATAAGTTCTACTGCTGAAGTGTGACTCTGTGTTGTGAATGTAATCCACTTTTTCTTTTTTTTGTGGCAAAAAATACAATTGTGAATATTAGACTTGGTTACTATGATGCACAATTGTGGGATTCCTGACACTTCAGAGTAAATGAACAATATGTCAGCATTAGCAAAGCCATGGACCTCAATTATTTCCACGTCCTTATTCCGTGTGCACATTTCCCCTCCCCCCATTACAAAAAGAATCGTTCAGAAATACTGCAGCTGTTAGCTTATGTTGTGTTTCTAAGTTAAATCTTGTAAATTAATTTAAAAATGTGAGACGAACCCATAAGTATTAGCCAGATCTGACATTGGTGCGTGCCAGTATTGAACTGCTCTCTACCAAATACTTCAATCATACAATAGTTTACTTAATTCCAGATTTGTTTTCTTAACTATATATTTGTGTGTGTGTGTAATATTTTGTTCTGTTGTAACTACCGTTGTTGATCAGAACAGTCAGTTTATTTTTATTATTTGGAACTTGGTTGACAAATAGAACTGAGGAGCCTTGGATATTTGCACTTGGTTGGATGGGCAGGAGCTGAAGACAGGAGGGTGTAGTGGTGTTGGGAGGGTGAGACTGAGGTGTTGGTGTTCCGCTGGGCCCAGCTGGGTGTTCTCGGCGGCGTTGACCTCGTGCTTGACCCAGGTCAGAATGTAGCTGCAAACGGTTAATTGATTAGTAAGCGTCAATAAAACAAAACACAATAAAACATTTAGATAAAGCAACTACTGCTGAATGTTTGACTTATTCAACTACTGTTTTATGCCGATCGCTTGAGGCCTGAGTGTGACTGAGTGAGGGATGCTTGCTGATGACTCGCTCGGTGGCGTCGTGGATAATTAGCTGCTTCATCCTGGCTTTTCAGGGACTCAACCAGTTTGCTAGCTTCTGGCCTCCTTTTCCAAACCCTAAGCTAACTACTGAAGAGGAGCCACAAAACAGGGCCAAGTTTACTTGTCGGGTTAATATTCCTCCTGAACTCTCTTAAATAATTGTTCACTTTATTCATTGGGGTTCTGGCGGTACATTTGTGATGGAAAAGGTGCCTGTTTTGGCCTCTGTCTTATAGCGATGGTGCCCAGGTCAGGTACTCAGGAAGCAGTGTTGGTCTTCAGTAGGAGAAGGGACAAACCGCGACCTTCGCACAGCCCTGAAAAACTCTGATGTTACTGTTCATTTTCCATGTATGTTTTGTGTACCTGTGTTTGTGTGTGTGTGTGTGTGAGAGAATGCAGAACATAATGCCAAAATCAAGGAGTGAAGGTGACAGGGAAGGAAAGGGATTGTGTTTTCCTTGTTTGTGTTTCTGTACTCAAAAGCTGGACAATTCTAATGCTTGAAGAAATATGTTTGCAAAAGGATGGTGAGAGATAAACCACCATGAGCAATGTACAATCCCCAGAGCTGCCAAGCAGCTTCCCAGCAGGGCCGACGGGGGGACGAGGGTACAGGGAAGCTGACCGGTGACACTCTTACTACTTTGAATATTTAAGAATAATGTGACGTTCCTCTAAACTTTCCTGTGAGCATATTGTATCATTACTTGTACACCTGACTGCTCCTACTGTTGAACAAAAGTGCTAATGTTTTTTTTGTTTTTTTTTTTTTTTATACACAAAAGGAAAAAAATATAATAAAACCACAAAAATAATTGAAAAACTGTGATAATCTGCTGTTTTAAATGTCACATTTAGTACCTATACATACAAACCCTGAAAAGCTTTAGTCTAACCAGCACAAAGATGTGGGGGGTGTGGGAGGGACTTTGGGGCGGTAAAGGGGTCTGTTCTCAGAGACTATGCAGTGGAGTGTTGAACCCAAGCTTCCATATCTACCTTGGGTTTTGCTTTGTCTCAAAATATTTCCCCTTAAATTTGAGAAAGCAGTTGGAATCCCAACAATATTCCTCAAACATGTGCCATTATTGAATTGTGTGACTAGTACCACAACTAATAATGAAAGACCTTTAGTTCTTATCAGCCATTGGGCCAGTTGTAGCAGAGGTGAAGGAGGGGTTAGGTCCATTTCTTTACTTTCACAGCTTCTCCAAGTTGAGAGGAATGAGGCCGGTGAAACTGCAGATTTTACACAAGTACATTTTTATAGAGATTCTATTACACTGTGTGTGTGTAGTTTGATCACCTGTAAACCTATTATGCACATAGCTTTGGGAGACTGTTGAAACTATAATGTATAAACAATGTCTATAATCCATGAAACTACAAACTGAAAGACACTTTTTCAAATGTCTTCCTGGGGTCATCAATGGATTTTCTTAATCTTTAGGGAAACTGCACTTTTTGAAGGACAATCTTATTTGTATGGGTATAAATTTGACAAATTACGAAGTAACATATTACAACGTATAGAAAACCAACTCCAGTGTGCTCCAATAATGAATGTCTACTCTGATGCTGTCTGTTTGGTTCATTTAACTTTTATTTTGTTGCTTGGTTTGTTCTGTTTTTTTTCTTTTCTGAATTTTAGTGCTCTTAAGAGAATCTGTATTAGGTGTAGACTAGTAGGTTGTAGGACTTCTGTTGACTGTACTGATTACTGTTTGTAACCCTCTGGCTCACTCAGCCAGCATACAAAGCTGTATAACCTGGGTTCAACCCTCAATAAAATTATACTTAAATGTTGGCTCACTTGTTATTTGTCCAGTTTTACCTTGACAGCAACATGAAAGACAAACCGATGCATTTATAACTTTTTTTTTTTCTCTACCCACTTAGGCCTATACCTAACTTCTATCACTCTGCATTGCTGGCTATAATAGCACTTCGGATTAAGTTTAGTCCAATCAAATCAGGTTTGGATTTTGGGAATGGTAGGCTCTCAGACCGAAAGGGAAATCAAAGGGCTCGGGTCAGGAAAACTAATCCAAATTCAGCTAAAATGTATTCAACGTAGGGTCTAAGAAGGTGCACTTTTAATCGCTGGCGGGTAATTTTACCCGAGCATTGCACAAGGAATAACTGAACAGTAAGTTGTGGTTGAAACTTTGATTATTTCGATCAATTTCTACAATAATTCAGTGACTCTGATTAGATGATTTATCCTCAATTTCTCAATATTTCCCCTTTAATTTCTACAATGGCGTGGAATCTTGTGGATTAGGTTCTTTATCCTCTGATGGCAAAGCTGCACATTCATCTGGAACAAAAGCCTTCTAGTTCCTGTAAATTCCTGGGCCGCCTTGCATGAACGGCATATTTCGGCCCCGTCCCAATACTCGCACTTCCACCCTCGCGCCCCTCCTTTGCGCGTTCCCGATAAAGGGTGCGAGTGCGTAGGGTGTCCCAATTCTCCAGGGAGGTCTTTGACCCCGCCCCCTTTGCGCCCCTGATCCACACTTCGCCGTAGCCTGCATCTATGCGCACTCTGGCGAAGGATATTGCCCATAATTCTTTGCGATACACACCAAAACGTCGGGAAAATGCATTTAAATATACATTTTGAAATATATATGCAGTATGTGTGTAAATAAGTTTTGCTATGTTACTTGGAAAGAAGCATAAACGTCTGATGAAGAATTATGGACATTGTGTTTTAACAATTTAATAACTTTTTAAAGCAAGCGTTTATATAACATTCAATTTAAACTTTACACTTAGTACAATAATCTTAGAATGTATAAAAACTGACCAGATAACAGTTACTTACCCACATTTAACTTTAAATTATACAGCTATCTCTAATTAAAAACAACTAATATACATGTATTTTAACGTGTGTGTGAACCAATTCATGTTGTTTCCCAAAAGGTTAGACAAAGTTACCTTTAATTTTTATAAAGTTTAGGTCTGAAAATGACCATCTCTTGACGAGTCAATGACGTAACCTGCACTCAGTGTGCACTGTCCCAATTCCGCCTTTTTTGCACACTTGTAACCTGCGCACTCCAACCCTGGTGTGCACTTCGAACAAATGCACACTTCGTAGAGGTGTGTAGGGTGCAGTGTGGGTATTGGGACTGGGCCTATATCTCTCCAGACTCAGTTGAAAAACACGGAAACAAATCACTGCTGTAGAGCTCCTACCACCACCACCTGGGCTAAGTTGGTACTGCCTTCAAATTAAAGGAGGCAGTACCAACTTAGGCACTGACATGTGTATGTATATATGCACTTAAAGAGGTAATTGCTAAATATAGAAGACAAAATTCATCTGTTTTTATGTGCTTTTTGGATGCTTCAAAAGCATTTGACAGGGTCAATCATAGAAAACTATTCTTGAAATTAGCCCAAAAAGGTGTACCCAGTTATGCTGTGCGTTTTTTAGCATACTGGTACTCACAGCAAACAGTGCAAATAAAATGGGGGAGCAGTGTATCTACCCCTTTTAAAGTGAGCAATGGGGTCCGACAGGGGGGTGTTCTGTCCCCAGTGTTATTTAACCTGTATCTAGACGAACTGTCATCTAAACTCAAAGACTGTCACACTGGCTGTGTCTCTGGAAGAACTATTATGAACCATTTTTTGTACGCAGATGATTTAGTCGTGTTTAGCCCAAGTACGGCTGGTTTACAGCAGCTCCTTAATATCTGCTCAACTTATGGTCTGGAACATGATATTAAGTACAATAGTTCGAAGAGTGTGGTTATGATTTCTAAAACCAAGGAAGATAAGAACCTGACATTTCCTAACTTTTGTTTGTGTAATGATGTTTTGCATGTTGTCACCAAAATCAAGTACCTCGGGCACATCATCACTGAGGACATGTCTGATGATGATGACATTTACAGACAATGCAGAGTGTTGTATGCCCAGGCTAATACCCTGGCACGGAAGTTTGGCTGTTGTACAGAGAGAGTGAAGCTAACGTTATTTAAAGCGTACTGTACTCCCTTATACACAGGTCATCTCTGGTCTCATTATAAGAAAGCCAGCATGCGTAAGCTCCAGGTGGCCTATAATGATGCTTTGCGTGTGCTTTTGAAAAAGCCGAGATGGTCAAGTGCCACAGAAATGTTTGTTAATGCCAGAGTGAACACTTTACAGGCCGTGCTACGAACTTTGATGTACAGCTTTATGTGTCGACTGAACACGTCTGAAAATGAAATAATAGTGTCCCTTACGAATATAAAATGGAGTGCGACACGGTATCAATCTGACTTGTGGAGACATTGGCATGATTGTCTTTTTAAAATACCATTTTAATTGTTTGTCTTGTCCTTTATTTTTTTATTTAATTGTATTGGACTATGAGTCCGGAATAAAGTTGAATTGAATTGAATTAAACGTCCACAAATGACATCTTTCACCGAACAAGTGAGGAAAAAAAACTTCAAACGCTCTAAATCAGGATGTCCAAACTTTTTAGCAAGAGAGCCACTTTAGTTTATCAGACTTGACCTGAGGCTGACAACCTGGATTTAAAAAGAACTACTTGAGCGGGATAGACTGAATTCTGGAACTCTACTAAACACCTGTGCCCAGCCTTACTCCGCCCACATGAACATTTGAAATGTTTTTCTTTAAAAGGCGTTGCCTGGAGGACCAAGGGACAAGAAGGGGGGGCTCAGAATTATTCATGTAATTTCATTTTAATCCACTAGATGTTGCCAGAATACTCCAACCTGCTCCTGGGGCGTGTGTGAGGCCCAGTCCCAATACCCACACTGCACCCTACACACCTCTACGAAGTGTGCATTTGTTCAAAGTGCACACCAGGGTTTGAGTGCGCAGGTTGCAAGTGTGCAAAAAAGGCAGAATTGGGACAGTGCACACTGAGTGCAGGTTACGTCATCGACTCGTCAAGAGATGGTCATTTTCAGACCTAAACTTTATAAACATTAAAGGTAATTTTGTCTGACCCTTTGGGAAACAAAATGAATTGCTTCACACACGTTAAAATACATGTATATGAGTTGTTTTTAATTAGAGATAGCTGTATAATTTTAAGTTAAATGTGGGTAACTAACTATCTGGTCAGTTTTTATACATTCTAAGATTATTGTACTAAGTGTAAAGTTTAAATTGAATGTTATATAAACGCTTGTTTTAAAAAGTTATTAAATTGTTACAACACAATGTCCGTAATTCATTGTAACATTCAAGTAACATAGCAAAACTTATTTACACACATACTGCATATATATTTCAAAATGTATATTTAAATGCATTTTCCCGACGTGTTGATGTGTACCGCAAAGAATTATGGGCAATATCCTTCGCCAGAGTGCGCATAGATGCAGGCTACGGCGAAGTGTGGATCAGGGGCGCAAAGGGGGCGGGGCCAAAGACCTCCCTGGAGGATTGGGACACCCTACGCACTCGCACCCTTTATCGGGAACGCGCAAATGAGGGGCGCAAGGGTGGAAGTGCGAGTATTGGGACGGGGCCTGAGAGTTGAATGGGTTTATATCACTGGCGCAGACAAACTGACGTCACACAGAATTAAAGAGTCAATGGAGAGGCCAGGACCAATTTCAAATGTAGTACCACCAAAAAAGGTTCAGAGGGCGCCACACTGAGGTTTTTAGGCTCAAAAGTGAGATTTTGTCTAATTTGAACTAAAATGTCAACAAAATGACGATATGTAGAGAGCACTACAATAAACATTTCTGCAGTTTGAGTTAAAAGAAGTTGATTTGGTGTTAGAATACATCCTTATTTACACCACGGAACCATGGGTGGCACGGTGGCTGAGTGGATAGCACTCTCGCCTCTCAGCAAGAAGGTCCTGGGTTCGAATCCCGGTCGGACCAGGGCCTTTCTGAGTGGAGTTTGCATGTTCTCCCCGTGTCTGCGTAGGTTTCCCCCGGGTGCTCTGGTTTCCCCTACCACTAAAAATATGTACAATAGGTCTGGCATGCGCCTCCTGTTCGGCGACCCCGCTCCCATCTCTGGAGTGAGAGACAAGTGCCCAAAAATAATAACAATTGTAAACCGCTTTGTGACTCTGGTCTGTGAAAGGCGGTATATAAATAAAGATAACTCACACCACGGCTGCATTTTATTTGGAATGTTGGGGCAATAAAGTCATCGACTAGATTCCAGAGGGTCTGAGATTTACAACAGGGTATGGCATGACTGTATTGGAGCTGAAGTTGGTTGGATGACACCAAGTGCCTCAATGCCAACTTCGTGTTAGCAGAAGGGCCACATTAAATGTCAGAGGGCCGCAATTAGCCCCCGGGCCTGAGTTTGAACATGTCTGTTCTAAATACATTAGATCAATCCAAATATTAACATGTGAATTATGTTCACTTGTAAATAAACGTGGTTTGGGCCACTACACAGATCCTTCTACAGCTCCCTCATCGTGAAGCCTCTGTGAATCATTTCAGACCAACAACATGGCAACAACTCCATGGGCGGGACTAATTTGGGAAAGGCCCATTACAGATGGTTAAACTTCAATCAATATTGGCTTAATATGACATGTTTAAATGACTCAAAGAACATACTATGAATACAATGGTGAAAGCATAGGGGTTTTATTGATCGTGATGAGGCGCAGCATCTGAAAGACCGAGGTTTACCGATGCTTCCAAAGCACAAGTCAAATACAGTCACTAACAAGTGGTGACACAGGACATGGATGTGAGAAGTTCAGCTTGCTTCGTAAGAACTTATCTTTATGCAGAGTCACAACAGCAATGTTGCTCTTAAAATATGAACACAACTTTATACTATTAAAGATTCAATGTTGCTCAGTCACACAACTTCAAAAACGAGAAAATTAACTATTCATACACATCCTTTTTGTCTGCAATATATTGTACGATGTCTTCAGGACTCATCAATTTCTCTGCGTCTGCATCTGGAATCTCAAACCCTAAAAAGACAAGACATTTACTACATTAAATATTACACTAAATGTAAATTTCTTTATAACTCACCAAACTCGTCCTCCATGGCCATAATGATCTCAACTTGATCCAGGCTATCCAGGCCAAGATCTTTCATAAAGTGGGAAGATTTGTTGAGCTGAAAGACAAAATTAGATTTACAGGGTTAGGACAAAATAACTTTGTATACAACCGATACTTTGTTAAATCTAAAGATTGTCATAAAAATACTATTTCATATAATTCACTTCACCAGATCCTGAAGAGGAGTTTTAAACCATAAGATGAACAATTATGTAACATTGTGATGTTAAAAAACTAAAATGGATTAAGATCATATTTGCAAATGCATCCAGGTGGAAGCCAGCAGAAGAATAGGGCACATAGTATTACCTTCTCTGGGTTGATCTTGTCATAGAGTTTGAGCACATACAAAACCCGGTCTGTTATGGAATCGAAGGTAAGAGGAGGCAGGTCCCCATACCGTCTACAGAACACACTCAGTGGAGAGATCTGTGGAAAAGGTTAACGGGTTAGAGAACAAACGTATGTTCTAAGATGTGTTAAGTTTGATACAAGGCAAGGATACGTTTGGTACAAGGCCATCATAGTTTCACGTGCACCAAGTCAAAAGACATGATACACTTTGTTTTCATTATATGCACATCATTTTGACTATGAAACACCTGCTACAAGTTTTAAAACAGGCGTGGGAGCATGATATATTTGGCTTTTCTATTCAAAAGTTGAGATACGTGAGTGAATGTTGCTGTTAGCTAAACCAATAACACCAAAAACATGTGAGAGCTTTTATAAGACAGAATCAAATAGCGTTTAATTAATTTCTCAGGAGTTTGAGTCATGCGTCCCTATCTTTGCTCAATCGCACTATGTGAACTTGTTGGGGGCTTGGACGATCCCCGAGAGCCCAAAGTGAGGCTCAGGGGTTTGAAAGACATCGCTAGGTCACAGCAGGCCGAGGCTCGCCTCACTCACCCGGCTGAGCTCCAGCCACCGCGTCCTGCGGCTGTCTCCAGCGGAGGAGAGGCTACGGTGTGGGGTCGTGCCGACAACAGCAGCTCTGACTGCCGCATTAGTCCCCCACAACCTCAGCGAAGGCCGAGCCACAGAGCGGACACACTGCACCAGGACACGGGCCGCCATGACGGTTCTGCTGACTACTCCCAGCATGCAGCGCGAGGAACAAGCTGGCCACAAGTATGCAATCTGCGCATGCTTAATAGACTCTTGTCTTGTTTACGTTTTTTGTTTTATTTCTATTAAACATACAGTGTCTGTTAATGTTTTTGCCAATTAGAACTATATGATAAATGAATAACTATAAAATAAAATAAAACAAGTTTATTCTCCTGAATTAGGCCAGAGTAGTCGATCATCTGTAAGCCCCTGCTATGTTGTTTCTGATTTCATTTAATAAAGTAAAGATAAACATTTGTCAGAAACGTTGATGCAAGAATCCATTGTTGTTGTGCACTTGTGTTGTGTGAGCGTTTCATACTATTTCATATATTTATACTGACAATATTAGGTTTGGATCGATTAGTTCCGTCGCTCGAAGAAGGACAGAGTTTAATAAATACAGTCTATGGCACAGAGCTGTTCGCAGGAGACAGAGGCACATATATATGTGTTTTATAATTTAACCGAGAAGACGGATCTCCTTTTGTTCAGCCATGGAGCTGTCTGAAATACTATACAATAAGGCGGAATACATTGAAACGGTGATAATTCACACAGACCGCAGCATGCTAATGTTAGCTGCTTAGCTTTGGGCGTTGCTCTATTTAATCCTTTGTGCAGTGTCTGTTTTTACATAACTGAAATATTCTTGATCTAACGTCTTGTTTTCTTTTGCTAAGGCATCTGGCAACAAAGTGAGCAGACAATCAGTCCTATGTGGCAGCCAAAACATTGTTCTAAACGGAAAAGTAAGCCGCCTCTCCTGTGGATGAAGCTGTAGGAGATGGAGGCTCTGACAGCTGACTTTACTTCATATAATTGTCTTTTAGGTCATCGTCATGAACGACTGCATCATCAGGGGGGATCTGGCCAACGTGAGGGTTGGCAGACACTGTGTTGTCAAAAGTAGAAGTGTTATTCGACCACCGTTTAAAAAATTTAGCAAAGGGTATTTATTTTTATATTCTTTCACAAAGTTCACCATGTTGTGTAAACTGTTCCTAAAGATTGTTAAAGTTCCAATTAGTTGATTATATCCAACAATGATTATATTATTGGAAATGGTATGAATGGATTATATCTGGGTGTGTGTGTGTGCCTTTAGGGTGGCATTTTTTCCTCTGCACATTGGAGACCATGTGTTTATTGAAGAAGACTGTGTGGTCAACGCCGCACAGATTGGTTCATATGTTCACATTGGAAAGAACTGTGTAATTGTGAGTGCAACTTTTTACATTTCTTTACAGAGTGAAAATCAATTGTCAATCACGTGATAAACAAACCACCCATATTTGAAACACTGGCAGTGGTTGCATTCCTGACTTTTCTGAATTTAGATGACCTTTGATTATATTTGCAATCTTTGTCTTGGATACAGGGTCGTCGTTGTGTTCTTAAAGATTGCTGCAAGATTTTAGACAATACTGTACTTCCACCAGAGACTGTGGTTCCACCATTCACAGTCTTTTCTGGCTGTCCTGGTCAGTCAGTCACACATTATGTAATATAATAAGTAATATTATGATGTCATTTTGATTCCATTTGTTTCCCCAGGTTTGTTTTCAGGGGAATTACCAGAGTGTACGCAGGACTTGATGATCGATGTAACCAAAAGTTATTATCAGAAGTTTCTGCCCCTCAGCCAGATCTGAGACATGCTTGTTAACAGAAGATTGATGTATTCAAATTTAACATAAATCTCAACCAATGAAGTCACAGATCATTAATTTGTCTCTTAAATGATGACACTTTTGCAGACTCCATTGTAGTGGACCAAATCTTCAATTTCCTGTTTTTTGTATTTATTACTGCATTGCTCAAGTCAATGTGAGACATTGAAAGCACATTGTCTTGAGTTTTAGGTGAAATAAAGAACATTTACTGTATTACTAATTTTTATTATTCTCACATCTAATCTAAAGACAGTATCTGACCAAGAAGTTACCTCAAGATAGTTAAGTTTCAGGACAATTCTTGTTTATTGCTATATTTTTATGTCTAAATAATAGTGACAAATGGAAAGTGACAATTCAAAAACACGATTTCAGTCCCAGCCCAACTGTTTATTTCACAATGTGAACCACATTACATTTTCATAGTTATGAGAATAAGGCTGGCTCATTCAGAGATTGAGTGTGTTGAAATTTTAGTGTCTTTTGATGTACTGCTTCTGTTAGAATAGAATGTAAGTACTAATGTACATATACACAAAATACAATAAAGAGAATGATGAGGGCAAGTGATGAAATCAACTGAAAATAAAAAGACAATGCAAATGAATAGTACTTAAGTTAACTGCAAATTATATAATTTCGAAATTAAAACGCACATTGTGGTTGATTTTAGAGCTGCAATAATTAGGAAAATTGTCAATATCAACATCACAGTTAAGGAATAATGTACAATAACATGTACTCGGACTTATTTTGCAGAAAAACAAACTATTATAACGGTTTGTGTTCAATTTGTGATATAAAATGCATTTATATGGTTAAAGATAATTCAACATTTAAATATAGTAATTGCAGCCTTGTACCCAAGCACAGAACTTTCCATCTCTTCTTTATCCATCCATCCATCCATTTTCTTCCCCTTAATCCATTTCTGGGTCAGGGCACCAGCCCCTCACTGATCCTCCTGCAGGTGGTAGTTTTCTGTTCAGACCAATCTTCGCTTGATGGAGAGTTAAAGATGAGAAAAGCAAGTGGATTATTTATTATGTCAACAACTGAACAAATGTCACAAATGACAACGTTTAAACATACATTTCTCCAAAACATTTTTAACTTCGAAAAAAAATTATAAATTTGAATTAACAGCTATAAAAATGAATCCAAAACATGTCTGGAACTGAGAATGGAAGAACTGCTTAAATTATATGAGGTGAAAACAAAGTGCTAATATCCTTATTGCAACTCATTATCATCCCAGTCACTTTTCCAGCAGCTTTGAGGCTAAGAAGGCAAAACAGATCATCAGTCAGTAAATATACTCAACTAGATACATTATTTCCATATGATTATCCTGAATACGTTTTAATAGAGCATAAACATGGCAAGCACTACTGCAAACGGTGGCATCGTAGGTAATTTAACACTGGCAGGTGCAAAATACAAAGCTCGGCTCAGCCAAAACAACAAAAACTCAAATCTCACCCAGAAATAATGTAACAGAACATATTCTCATTTTCTCTGAAAATAAATGTCTTTTTTTTAAGAAATTGGGGAAGAATGGATGCAATATGGAAAGAGTATGTTGTGTTCACTTTCAGAAACAGAACCTGTTTGTGAAATGGGGAAAGGGTTATTCAGGGTGGCATTTATCTAACCCAAAAGTTACATATAGTGCCCTGCCACTTGTTTGTTGTTTGTAATCCACACAATGTAATTTACGCCACAGTTCAAGTACCATGTATTTGTCCCCAAATCTGAACAGAATTTAAAAAAAAAAAAACATTTTAGGACTCTGCACCTTCCACGTTTTTGTTTCCTCGATTCCTGAGAAATGTGTGCCATTTCCAAGCAGCTGTCTTCACAAAGAAAGTTCTCATCGCCTTTCTGAGTAATACCACAGAGAAACACAACAGATGAAATAACAGCCAAGATCTGAAAAGCAGACACACTTCAGCCGAAATATTCTTGTGCACAGCGAGAGTCCAAGCGGCTGCGAGTTCAGAAGTCACATGCTCCCGTTTCACACAAGCACATCAGATCATTCTGTTACGTTTATGTGTTGGCGAATCTGTGATAACATCACTACATTGGTTGGAATTTCGTTTCCTGGTTCCTCCAGCAGAGGGAGAGTCTAGATGAAGTGCCATCTCCTCAGAGATGAAAGTATTCAGGTCCACATCCTGGAGGCCATTACGCCTCGATCGACACATTGAGCCAGATGACCCCCCTCCACCTGCTGCCCCATTACTGCTGCTGCCACCACTGATGTGTGTCGGAGACCCTGGAGCACCAGAGCGCACACTAATGCTTGCCATCGCACCACTTAGACCTAAAAACAGGACAAAAGATAATATGACCACCTTAAAAAGATTGATTGGGGGTCCAAACATGTAAAAGACAATATTACATTTCATGACAAATCAATACCCCTGCACATTTAGGAATCCATTTCTAAAAAATACTGCATAAGTTTTTATTTAAAAAACTAAAATTAACAGGCTGCTATGTCATTTTTATTATGAAATATAGTACATGACAAACGCGTAAACGAAGTGCGATTGTGAGTATACCACATAGCAGCAAATTCCTTTCAATAGATAATGTAATCCAGAACACAAGATGTTAAACTCCTTGGCACAGTGTAGACAAAACTAGACCAAATCAGAATATTTTTAACTGTAAACTGCAACTATCAATTAACCAATCATTTACCATGTAGGGCAATGGCTTCCCTGAAAGGCTGAAGGTCTGCTTCAACAGAGGAGCCAGTCTCTGTCGGTGAATTGGCACGGCTTGGAGCTACCATAGTTAGACGAGAGTTGGTCCTGCCACCCCTAAGGGGTGGTGCTTTGCCGCACAGAAAACTAATAAGATCCTCCCTGCGGATGGTTCTTCTACGCTTTTTCACCCAAGCTAACATGTCCTGAAACAGTTAAAAGTCATTGTTAATTATATGCATTATAAATAGTAAATGAGTTTAAAAGACTTGCCTTATTCCGGCGCTGATTTCCTATTTGAATTCCCCTGTCAAAACTCCTTTGATGAGCCTCTATACTCTCTTCAGAAGTTAGAAAAAGCTGTTAGAACAAGTTCTAATGCATGCTAAATAAGGCCTGTCACATTAGCTAGCTTTAACACTGCTAGATCAACAATAATACAGTATTAACATGACAATGGACATTAAAGATAACTTATAATAAATCATCAAATAAACACAAGGTGAAAATGTTCTGCCCCTATGCATACCTTTATAGATGTTTGTAACTGCTGTTGCAGCGTTTTGAAATGGCACCCACAGTGACAAGCCTTGTTGATGACATACTCTATCTGTGAAGCAGAGGGGAACGTGAAGAATAAGTATACCTAATGCTAGAGAGAATACCCATGGATGCAATACCATAAAAAGACAAGATTAACTAAATGTTAGGTCAGCAGAGAAGTTGCACAGTTGGGTTAAACAGCTTGACAAACAAGTGTTACATGTGCCGGCAGATAGCAACATAAAGCACAAACGAAAACAAATGGGGCTAAGACTCTCGGATAAGATTTGCAAATAGTTCTTCAGAATGTTGTAGCTATCATTGCAGGGAGTGTGATTATTTTGGCCACGTGGATATAACGGAGTTCATTGTTCGTGTTTAAAAATACGATTATTGATACTCTCGCCATTTTGTAACTACGGGAGCTTTTCAGGCCACTTTTCAACGCAGCTGCTGTCGAACCATAACTTGGGTGTCAGGCAAACGTGCTGATTTAAAACCAACTTTCTGTATACACTGTAAGAATATAAATACATACAGTGAATAACATTACATTACCATCAATACCAACTCGTGAATAGTGAGCACAAACTAAATGACTAGCTTTAGGTTAATCTTGAGAGCTAGCTACAAGCTAGCGCTAGCTGACATCTTAGAGATCATAAATGACAGAAAGGTCGTCAAACCTTCTTGGTAACCCAGTATTTGGACATTGATGCAACATTGAGTGTGTGCATCCACATAAGGTGTGAATAAATGTATTTTAGACAACTCGTGTCCGATTGAAACGAGGCACAATCTGTCCCAGAAAAGGATACATCATGTCCAGAGCATAAGACCTGCTGGCGTTAATATAATACATCTGTAATACAAGTGTTTAGACGATGTGAGTGGTTTATATCAGTCATGTGCGATGGCTGTGGGGAGAGGCAGTGAATAAAATGATACCAAGACCTTTATAAAGCTGTGCTACGGCGGTGGCTGAGTTTTGGAACAGATGCCACAGTTTATCCTGCTCCTCTTCGGCCTCCTCCGGGCTGGGCTCTCTCTGCTCGGCTTCGGACAAACACTGCCGCTCCCATTTTGAGAACCAGTGTTCAGGTCCGTGTTCCTGTATCGCCGAGTCTCCTTCTTCTTTCTTCTCCTCCATTTAATGAAATTATTCGACGACGCAGCCGTATATGTGATTGGGAATTCTAGATTTATAGACTCTAAAACGCAAGTTGCAAGTACTTCACATTTACTCAACAACGGAAATATTGAACAGACTTATCCTCTGCGAAGATAAGCTGAACTGACTGAACTGTTTTCCTAGTTGTCGACGTTACGCACAACCGTGTTATGCGCGAAAGCCCGCCCACTCCTGACATACGCTCTGCGGATTGGCTGAGAGTCCGCTAGGCTTTCTATCAATCACAGGATCAACACAAAAGAACGCACTTAAAAAAATGCTTTTTATAGAAAAGATTCAACGTAATCATGGTAGTAGTACTGTATAACTTCATTTTAAAAACAAAACTAATTAACTGTTGTCTTACCTACATTGTCACCACGTAGCTTTGAACTTAGTCAGGCATTTTATTTAACTAATTTAGTCTAGTCAATTCTTGATGAAGGGGGCGGGAGAGAAAAGAGAGGGCAGGAGCTACGGACCAATAACACTAGGTGGAGTTCCTTCATTTATGTCACCGTGTGTCCCTCATGCATCTTCTAGGCCATCTAGGCTACTTCGAATAGTCCATGACCATGGCTGTTGTGCCCATGACCTAGGCGGTTCGTTCGTTTGAAAGACCATGAGCTCTGGAAAACTTCTTTGATTGACATAATGTGTGAGTAACTCAGTTTCAACAGTGGCACCATACATGCAAGAACTAGTGCATCCGTATATAGATACTATTGATTATCTAAAGTCTCAGATATGTAGGACATAAACATAAAATAAGGGTTACTGCTAGGATTATGATGGCCAACTTTACTAAAATAAAGTATAAAATGGATTGTTCCAGCTTTAAAATACGTGTACAACACAACCAAAATAACTTTTATGTTTTCAACAAGTTTCTAAAAACTTTAAAACATTTGAGTTGAGAAACTATTTATAATGTGGTATAATTTAATGCATTAATGTACTAAATTACTAATTTCACTCATAACCTATGTTGCACACAATTCTGTGCTCCTCAATTCACATTATGGCCGCCAGAGAGCGCCCCAGAGCCGATTTGGAAACTTGGAATTTGGGATATCATTATAGATTCATGTCTGGGAATCAGTTGGCTAAATTTGGCATTTGCTCTTTTTAGTTGAAATCATGCAGAGATCAGGAGGGACGTTCGCCATGACGTCAGCATACGGTCACGTGATGCACTGGTTGCTTACTTATTTACTTAATTGCTGAGAATATTGTAGACAGGGTATTGGTTTATTACATCCCGTCAGACCTCAGTGGGGCGGGTGTGGCTGTAAAGTGCCAAAATGTCGTTGAGTCCTTAGACAAGACACTTAACCCACATTGCCTAGAATGAGAATGAGAAATAGAATGGTTGGTGGTGGTTGGAGGGGCCAATGGCACATATTGGTTGCCTCGCTTCTGTCAGTGTGCCCGGGGCAGCTTAGGCTCCAGTAGTTTATCCCCACCGTGTATGGAGTGAAAGAATAATGACATGTGTTGCATCTTTGAGTGTCCTGAAAAGTGCTACAGTATATAAAACCTTTCATCCATTGACCCATTGTCTACCCCTTAATCAATTTCTGGGTCGGGGGTGGAATCAGATCTGCCCTCCAAGTCTCATAGCACCAGCCCCTCACTGATCCTCCTGCAGGTGGTGAGTCCATAGGAGGATGGCTGCTCTGTCAGTGTGAGCAAAGCCTTGAGCTTTTATGACAAGGTGGAAACATAATGCAGAGCCACTGAAGACAAGATAGTTAGAGAGCAGAAAAGCAAGAGACTGAGAAAGAGCAGTTTGAGACTGCTCCGGCTCGACGGGGGACCACTTCTGCAGAACTAGAATTGCCAGGTATGTTTTCGTTCATCTCATTGACATATATAGCTCAATATTATTTCAGTAGAGATGTGTTTTATTATTCAATCAATTTTTATGATGCCTCTCTCAGATTTTCAGGGAGACTGTCTGAAATGCAGCCTCGCCATGTTCAGTTCTGACTTTGGGCACCAGCAGGAGGCCAGTCCCTGTGCTCCTCAGAATCTGAGCCGATTCTTATGGCACCAACATGTCACAGATGTACTTTGGTGCGAGGCCTGGTTCTAGTCAGGACTCGAGCTGCTGCATTTTGAATATACTGTAGCTGAAAGACCAGTGAGTAGGCCGCTACAACAGTCTAACCTACGGGAGACAAAAGCATGGATAAGAATCTCTAGGTCTGCTTTGGACCCTATTTTTTACTTTGGCAATGTTCTCCAGAGTCCATTATTACCCCTGGATTTCTGACCTTCTCTCAAGACATTAGGGAGTGAGACTGAAGCTGACAAATGATGCTCTCTCTTTGTTTCTGTGGGCCAAAGACAATCTTTTTGGTTTTCTCTGCATTTAGCTGAAGGTTATTTTGCATCCACTCACTGATCTGTTGGATGCAGTGACAGAGTGAGTCCACTGGTCCATGTTCTCCTGCAGTCAATGAGATATAGATTTGAATGTCGTCTGCATAATTGTTATAGGACACTTTGTTACTTTGTTTTAACTGACCTAATGGCAGCATGTAGACGTTGAACAGGAGAGGCCCCAGGATTGACTTGTGTGGCACTCCGCAGGTCAGGGCCATAAATATATGAATATATGTTCATATATTTCAGGTCCATCAGATACCTCTCAGCATGACAGTTGTTTGAGAAAAATAACTGAACTGAGACAAGAGGACAACGGCTTTACTCAGAACGGGAAAGACTTCAATCTGAGACGCACATCTCAAAGGAGGAGAACGTGACCCGTGACTGCAGGCTGCTGTTTTAAACTGGACTTCTTTCTATGGATCTGTTTAAATGGTTCTGTCATATGTAACCAGCGTCCTGCTAACAAGTAAGGACGAGTATTTTAATACCTGTGTAGACTGATTATTAACAGTTCAAATAGTTATTTTATTGATAGAATTCTGCTTCAGAATAACTGCTTTTGGTAGTTAAATCAGTTAAATCAATGAAGTCTTAATCAATGTGTACGTTACCTTTATGACATTTATGTATCACTGTTTGTAGTAATAGCGTAAGAGTAATTACAAAAACATTTAATGATTGGTTCTCTGTGATGGTGTTACTTCCAATCGTTTCAATCTGCAAAAGGAGTTAACCCCTCCCACCTGTTAACGTTGGTGCTCCATTGGGCTGGTACTTGAAAAAGTTGTCTACCAACAGCTAAATAGATTTCTTATAGGGGTGCATAATTTTTTCAGCGAGGTACTCAGATGAGTACCAGGACATCGTGTTTGGTACTCACTTTATTTGTCGCACGGTTCTTAATCAAGATTTTATACTTGCTTCTTTTTAATGCTAAAGTTTAGATCAGCTCAGATAATCCACTCAATCCAAGTCAAATAACCCATTAAGGCCTGACACAGCTGATAAAACAGACCTGTAAAATTTATGGCCGACTTCAGAACCTCCTCCAAAACATGAGGTTTTCCTGAAATTCAACGTCTACAGAATGATTGATATCTCAGCCTCTGTAGCAAATAGAAACATCATTTCAAAAGAATTTGAGAGATGACACTTCCACACAGGGAAGGTAATAAAAAATCAATAATAATGCTGGACTAACACATGTACGGAAGATCATTGTTGTCACACACACACAAAAATGTTTAAAAATAAATAAATAATAATCTCATAATTATGAGTTAACTATCTCGTAACTACGAGATAATTATCCCGTAATTATGAGATAATAAAACAATAAAAATAAAAAGCCCTTATCAGGCAGGCGGCACTCCATTGATTCATCAACAACTTTCATCGGCACGATTCGGCAGTACATGTAATGTTTGTTTATATTTACACTTTGACTGATTTTTGTATTAAATATGTGTTTAAACCATTCATTAGGAAAACCTTTTTATTCAACTATTTGTCATAGTCACAAAGTTCATTACTAGCTTCATCATCATCAGCAGCAGCAGCAGCAGACGGACCAGACCAGTTTTCTCCATTTTAATGCTGTGTCTGATTAACCGCTAATGCTAATAAGCTAGCTGTTTTGCACGGACCACAACAACACATTCCCAGTGTCACAATCTATTTTTAGCTAATTTCTTATGACTGCAGTGATTCCATACCTAGGGGATGTGTAGCACTTCATCAGTTTTAATGTTTGGACTGATTAAGTGCTCTAAAAGAACAATGAAAAAAACATAACAAAATGTATAATAACATTCAATTTGTACATATCTAGCCTCAAGATGTGTTGGGCTGTCTTCTGTAAGGTTAAGTTTGAAGAAAAGTTAACCACAGGATTTACAATTCTAAACTAATATGTTTTGCTGAAGTTTTCACAGCTCCACTTCTCATCAATGAATAGGAGGATTCATAGCTGACCCGGTATACACCAGTCTATGGTGACAGAATTACAACGAAGCAATGTTGTATGAAGATGAGAAATCCATAATTATTTATTAAATTGTTCTTGTTGCAAAATGTTTGTGTTTTAATTTGTTTTGTGTCCATTATCATTGTCGAGGTTTACTGAATAAAAATGTAGAAATTGTTCCCAAATGTTAGGTTTATGATTTCATTAATGTATAGCCAAGCTATTTTATAGCCCTAATACAAGATAATGCATATATACAATATTAAGACCCATGTAAAGTGTGCATAAACATTTGTTTTGCCAAACAATAACTTTAATACACATAGTAGGCAGTAGCTCAGTTGGTAGAGCTTTGGCCTTTGAGCCAGAAGGTCGTGGGTTCAAGCCCCGCTCAAGACTTTCACCATCGACTCCCACTGACTACTGTCGTTGTGTCCTTGGCAAGACACTTAACCTCTGGGAACACCAGCCACAGTGGGGCGGCTGCGGCTGTAAAGTGCCAAACTGCCGTTGTGTCCTTAGGCAAGACACTTCACCCCCATTGCCTAGAATGAGTCTGGTGTGTGTATGAATGGTTGGTGGTGGTCGGAGGGGCCGATGGCGCATACTGGTTGCC